TGCTATGCCATCCTTGGGGACCTGGTCTAAACACAGGTGGGCGGCATAGTATGTCACCGCCGTCCAGGGGACTTACCTGCTCGCTGGCAATCCCCCCCGCCGGCGATCATGATGCGGGGGACTTGCCTGGCATCCCTGCTGTTGATCCGGCCCCCAGCAGCACCCCATTTATGTATGTTCAGGTGAGTGCAGCCTCCCCCCCTGTTTCACACATATATATATTTGGGAGTCTAGCCAACTCCTTGGTTTTGCACCCCTCCCTGTCACAGGTGCCTCATCCCAGGACCCTATTTAGCCTTGTACTGCAGAGAACTCGAGATGGAAGGAGATTTCCCCAAGTGAGTATCTCATTTAGTAAACAGGTGGTTGTAAGAGTAGGACCTGCCAAAGATGGGGTACATGGACGTTGTGGCAGGCTTATGCAATGTATGATCACAGAATGTAACTAAACCCCCATTATTTTTGCCTAGATTAGGGGTTTCTAAAAAAAAAAAAAAAACTAATAAAATCTGTCAACATTGAAGTTGCTGTTTAGTAGATAGGTGAGTGAGCTGGATCTTGTGTGTGTGTGTATATATATTTTAATTCTACGTATATATTTATGTAATATTTTTAAATAATTAAGTCGTATTTATTCATTACAATTTGCGGGACCTGCCTGATAACCCAGGCAGAAAGTCCAGAGAATTAAATTTGCTATCACTATATTTAACCCTGTAACTTTCCAAGGCACCCTAAAACCTGTACATGGGGGGCATTGTTTTACTTGGGAGACTTCGCTGAACACAAATATTAGTGTTTCAAAATAGTAAAATGTATTACAATGATGAAAGTGAAGTTTTTTTGCATTTTTCACACACAAACTGCACTTACACCGACGATATAATTGTTGTGATACGTTTTACAGTTTTGAAACACTAATATTTGTGTTCAGCGAAGTCTCCTGAGTATAACAGTATCCCTCATATACAGATTTTATGGTGTTTTCAAAGGTTACAGAGTCAAATATAAGGCTTGTGTTTCAAATTTTTCACATGGTTACGTTGCCTTTGAGACCGTATGGTAACCCAGGAATGAGAATTACACCCATGATGGCATACCATTTGCAAAAGTAGACAACCCAAGGTATTGCAAAAGAGGGTATGTCCAGTCAATTTTAGTAGCCACTTAGTCACAAACACTGGCCAAAATTGGCATTCAAATTTGTTTTTTTGCATTTTTCACACACAAACAAATATTAATGCTAACTTTAGCCAGTGTTTGTGTGTAAGTGGCTTCTAAAAAAGACTCGACATACCCAATTTGCAATACCTTGGGTTGTCTACTATTGCAAATGGTATGCCATCATGGGGGTAATTCTCATTCCTGGGCTACCATACGGTCTCAAAGGCAACATAACCAATCTAGCGAATTTCAATGTGAAAAAAAATGAAAAATTTAAAATGCTATATTTGACCCTGTAACTTCCCAAAACACCATAAAACCTGTACATAGTGGGTACTGTATTACACTTGAGACAGCGCTGAATACAAATATGTGTATTTTATTGCAGTAAAAGCAAACAGTATTAAGACATTCACAGTTAAAATGTCATCCAGAACTAAAAAAAAAAAAGTTTCTTAATTTCTCATATTTTATTCATATTAAATTATGTTTTATAGCTAAATATTTGATGTTACATAAAAGCCATGTTTCTCCTGAATAAAATGATATATAATAAGTGTGGGTGCACTTAATATGAAAGAGGTGACTTACGGTTGAACAGACATGTAGTCAAATTCCAAGTTTTGTTTATGTTTTATTTTGATCAAAACGTGTACATTTGGCTCAGTCCTTAAGGGGTTAAATACTGTTTACCTGGGGGCGTGGCTCGACCGCAGATGGAGTAAGTCGCACGCTGCACTCGCTCCCAGGCCCCGACCCGCTTAAGCCCAGACCCTGAGCAAACTCATGGGGAAACCCAAACGAGCCGGGACCCCGAGACATCCACCCTCACCCCACACGAGCCAACAACCCGGTCCCATGGACGAATTCCTGTCCACTCCACAGCACCTCAGAGGCACACGTGGCGCGGATAAGATGGCGCCCTCCTCCCCGAGCACCAGCAGTGTGGCAGGCTCCATGAACGACACACCTGGCACTGATGCACTGACCCAAATGTCGATCGACCTGGCTGCTATATCCGCCAACATGCTCACCCGCGGGGACAAAACGGCCCTGGTTTCGGAGTTGCGCTCTGTCATCCGGGAAGAGATTGCCGTGGTGCGCAGAGACCTAACGGCACTGGAACAGAGGGTGGATGATTTGGAGGAACACCGCCTCCACGCCACACACCATCAGCAAGCTGCAGATTTGGCAACCGCACGGCAGGGGTAAAGAGATGCGCAGACAGGTTGAAGACCTGGACAATAGAGGCCGCCGCAACAACATACGAGTGCGGGGCCTCCCCGAGACCGACGACGAGTCCCCACGGGAACTGCTGACGGGCCTCTTTGTGCAACTTCTCGGGGATGACGCCCCCCCCGAAATACCCATGGAACGAGCACACAGAGCATTACGTGGCCCCAGGAGCGATGGACAACCCAGAGATATGATTTGCTGCC